TGTGCCAAATCGTTGTTGGAAAGCTGCTGTATTTCCTGATTGGTTTGGGGCTGATGTCCCCGGTGGGGTGAGGGTGAGGCGTTCATCGTAACAGCCATACTAAACTTCATCATACTTTACTCTTTCCTCGAGTGGCTATAATTACTACGAGGTTGGGGATGTCTGATGAGAACCAATAGTAGTGATAATAATACATATATCTCATTCATTTTCAAGGAACAGAAAGAAATCTCCTCCTTTTCGACATTTTTCCTTTCCATATTTTCCTTCTTTCATTATCTGCTTTCGACGTTTGCCTTTTCGGCATTTTGCTCTTCTACATTTTCCTCTTCGACGTTTTGCTCTTTTTTTATCGACATTTTCCTTTCGATATTTTGCACCAAGACCACATCATCGGTTATATCATTGATACTTATATCAAGATAAATTATACTATTATTCTCTTTTAATGCAGCAATAAGAGCAATAGCACTTTTATCTGTAAAACAATTACGGCTTAAATTAAAAATTTTCAATATTATAGTTATTTTTAATAAATCAGCAAAAATTAAAATACCATCATCATCAATTTTATTATAAGTAAGATCAATATTGATTAATGTTCTATTTGTTTTTAATATTTTTCCAATTTCACTTCCAGCTTTTGATGTTATTTCATTTCCAATCATATTAACTTCCATTAAACTATTTAATATATTTAATAATTCTGCAAGAGCTAGAGCACCTGCATCACCTATTTTGTTCTTGCTAATATCAAGAACACGCAATAATTGATTTTCTTTTAATGAATTTATAATCATTGATCCATCTATCTGAGATATATCACAATAATTTAGATTAATATAAATTATTGTTCTTATAGTATTCAATATTTTCATTATCATTTTAAAACAATCTTTAGTCATATTAATTTCTAAATCTAAATATTTCATATTTGATTTTCATAATGCATCAATAAATTGAATTAAGAATGTTTCACCAACAATACATCCTTTAAGAAATAGTCTATGAAAACGAAATCCATCATCGATTATTTTACAAAAACGATTTAACGCTTTATTATCAATAAATTCTCTTAAGATCAAAGTACTTGTTTTTAGATCAACTATTATATTAATTGATCGAAATTCATTTATATGATGGATTTTTGTATTGCAATGATTACGGCATACCCGACGAATAGTATCTTTTTTGTTACAATACGACATAAATTAGCGAATGATACAATATAAGTGTTTGATAAATGAAAATATCGCTTAAATTCTTTATCATCTAATGATTGAAATGATTTTATATGATTTTTTATAATAGTCAGTGTAGATTGCATTATTTTTGAATGTGATGAAAATTCTTCTTTAGACATTAGAATTGTTAATGGACTAAAAAAATAGTTTTCACATTTAATAGCCAATATGATCATTCTTTGAATATACCATCCATAAGTGATAAAAAACATTTTAGGATTAAGTAAAACGTATCCTTCATGATTAGTTAAATGTAATACATGTTCATTACATTCACAAACAAAATATACACGATAGTTATTATTCCAAATATTTTTAGAATTGTATGCATACTCTAAATCAGGCAAAACAATAAATAATTTTGGTATACTATCAATAGTGTTCAATTGAAATATTTCATCTAATATATGTTTAACATTTGAATCGTTTGATGGACTACTGACAATCGAATTACTCGTTTTGCATTCACTAGGAGGCGGGTGTAGTAGCACGTTAGCCCTCTATAACTTGCTATAACAAAAACAATCTTCAGTTCAGTTTTACACACCAACAACAAATTATTATTACGATAAAATATTTTACAGAAAAACTAACGTACGATAATGCTGAAATATTAAGTCTTTTAATGTTTATTTTATGATAATAATACTAATGTACGATGGTTGTTGATGATGATCGGTGAACTGCTTCTCTTCAATTGACGAAACTTGATGAGGAGAAGGAGTGCAAAACGAAATTAAAGTAATGCAAATGAAAACACTAAATTATATTTTATAATTTTAAAAGAATACTAAATATATACTAAATGTGAGATTTAGTTATAAAATTATAGCAGTAGAATTTCTTCTTCCTTTGTATGATAAACGAAGAAGACGACTGATGATGATGATTCCTCTTCTCTTAAAGAGAGAGAAGAAGAAGTAGAAGAAGTTTAGAATTTAAGTTTAGAATTTTTGAAGAAAAAGAAAAACTGATATTTTTGATGAAATCTCGACACGAAGATAATGTGTCTCTACATTTCGCGTCACTATGAAACAAAATAATAATAAAAATCAATTATTAACTGATTTCATTCTTTCTATATAAAGAGCGCATAGAAGAAGTTTCTGAAACTTTTCAAGCGACAGAAAATAAAAGATGTAACGGCAAGCGGTTACAAGGACCTCCCTTGCCCCACGAGATTCGTCCTCGAATCTTGAGATAAGAGCTTCATTTTTACTGGATAGTGTAAAATTTAAATATATCAATTAGAGATTTACGCAAGCAGTTTCTGGTGCTAAATTTTCGGTGTTTTTATAAAAGAAAAGAACTGACCGCGATTTTCTCTAAATCTGAATATTAGAAAAATATTTCGATAAATTTGTTTCATTCAAAAGTTTGACTGCTATCACTCTCAAAAGTCTTAACTCTTTGAAAAATGACTGCAACATTCCCAACTAAATCATCAACAACAATTATCTCAACAAGTGAATATGATAATATTGATGACGATGGTGGAGATCATTTAGATGCGCAAAGAAACATCTATGCAAGGTGAAGTTAGCTGAGAAATTAAGTAAAACCTTTAACGACGACACGCGGGTCGGTCAACAGGATAAAAGTTGCATAGTTGTCATCAAACCCTGGCCAGGTTTCATGAATAATAGAAAATTGACAGCAATTGTAACTGAGAAACTATTAGATAGTCTATGGTAGCTGAATGTCAGGTTGGATTGGCGAGCAATAGTTTGTGATCTTTTATACTCGCACATAGCTTTCTACCTGTTCTGGTTTAAGTAAATTTTCCTAAATACAGAAAGAAGATATTTCGTTTTGTTTTGGATTATAGAAGAGAAAGAGAAGAAAAGGTTTGAAGATATTTTCCTTCACTATACTTTTATTTTACTTGATTGTATTTTCATAATGATTTACATATTTTTGCACAGATGATTGCAAACATCAGAATTTCCAACCTCCATACTGAAACGGTCGAGATAAACGTGTTGCAGAGGGAGAAGAAAACAAAAAAAGTTGCGGTAAAATACCTGAAAAACTTGGAAAAAGTTAGTGTTTTCTCTCTCCGTCCGAATCTTCGTCACTCTATGATTGAGAATGGAGACGAGGAAAAGAAGGAACTTCCGAAGTTCACAAATCTGAA